ACACTATGATGTGACATTTCCAGTATTTTGACAACTCACGATCGAGACTCAGATTACTGACTCAATACTAACCCCAGAATGCTGACACCACTAGCATTCCTAGTTATTATAGTTTAGCATCTGGTAGTAAGGCAATGACCCAACATGTTAATGTGTATACTTAAGGAAGGAAATTGAGGTGATCTGGATAGAAAAATACAAAAGCTAGGAATTTTCGAAGGAGGAAAATAATAATACTAAAATTGAGTACAGGAATATAAGCTGAATGTCACCCGATACTGCAGCTTACCTTTAACTATCCTCGTAAGCAAATTCGCGTGCGTACAGTAAAGTTTTTATGGGTCTTCTGTTTGAGAGTGAATAAATATGTGTACACTACCGGAACAACTAGGAAGCGAGCAGTTGTTTGAGACAACAAGAGCCATCCCATGATCACCTTTGAAAGAATTGTTACTTTGACTATCTACTAATGTGTGGACACAAATGTTGTATCTTCAGGAATGTTTCATGTCCCAATCTGATGGCGAAAACTGGATTGTTTCCTGAAAAGAGTGCGACGTCAACGAGAACGTGTTTTTGGTACGCTTTGTGCTATTATCAGATCGCATTTATTCTCTTTTACCTCTGCGAAATAACATCCGTCGCTAGACTTTATATTTATCGGATTTGTTTTGTGAGTCTAATAATCCAAATAAACTGGATATTCACACCTCTCACGAAGAGAGGAGATGGATAAACATTGTGAAATTCGAAACGAGTTTGTTAGTACATTTTAAACTGTTAAAAGCCATCCGAGCGTGATAAGGCATTTGCTTTAGCTACATGTGTGACGGAATTGTGACTGGTGTCTAAGCTCTTTGCGGTAACTACTTCTGGGTCACGCTTGGATGAGGCTATAACAGACGGATGTTCAGGGAGTACTTACGAATTTTGTTTGCCACGAAGTCACATGGTGACAACATAAGATTTTCGTTCAATAACTTTCATCTGTCCCAACTGTTAATTAATCACTTATTGTGGCGTCCTTTTGAAATTTGAATGGTGTAGCGTTCCATAGTCTTCATACACACACAAACCCACTCTCGTGCTTCGTGGCTAGAAGCTAACTGCTACGAGTGAAACCTCTTTCTTTCCAATGGACCTGAATATTATGCTGTCACCATCAGTATCTATAACGGAAGGTGAGTTAATTTTGTCAGGAAAGATATTGACTGACATTTGTGAACTTGTTAGTTAAGTATCCGCTGTAGATGGATTTTCTACCCTAGCAGCTCACCTTGTTTCCAATAGGTGCAGGTTGGCACTCGACGTCCCGGATCCAATAGCAAAACACAATAATTCGGTCTATTTTCATTATAAAATGGAAATACAAACATTTACCCAACAATTGTTACACCTTCCAAGTCCAAATTACCCTGGTGGGTATCCGCTTCTGGAAGAATAAGTGCTTCCAGTCCAAATGGCTACAGTATCAAATCCAAAATGGCTGTAACCATATTATTTATCAAATTTAAACAACATATATACAGTTCAGAAGCAAACATAAAAACTTCAATATAAGTACAAAATATAGAAATAATAACCATATACAATGATAAAATCTCAAAATAGAGTGCCAATATTTCTTAATTACAAATCTGTACATTATTCCGAAGCAGTGTAGTGATTAGGACAAGCAGTTGTCATACATCACGGAGGTCGATCAGTTGGCCACACTTTGCAGTGTGTAAGATTTGAAATGGAATACACTAGAGTGAATATGTTGCCAACACAGAGGAAAAGGAATGGAAAATTGGTAGTTATTTAAACCAGTGAGAAAATGAATCAGTAAACATATATACAGCAAAGGTATTTGAGAGAAATAGATGTTAAATAAGTGGTATCACTAATGATATCAATAAATAACCATAATGTTTGGAATCGGAAATGTGGTAAGGATTAAGATGATCGCATGTAATTGTTTGGTCAGTATTACAAGTCGTTCTGCCTTCAGGACTTGGTGATTAGCTGAGTCATAATGTCGATAACTAACCCACATGCTCAGGTGTTATTTGGATATTCTCACTCACTACTCTAATTTTTAAAGCACAAGTTTGAACCTGCTTGATATATTAATTATATAAATCTCTGGCTTCAAGTGTAGTGTAAATCTTTCATTGGGTTCCGTGTAGGACATGTTATGCTTGATTATAAGGAAGAAACAAGATTTTCAACCATGTGATAGTGTTCCAGTGAACACCATGTTACATTTGGCTGTCATGATCACCAGTATCTGTGATGGAGTGGTGGAACGTGTTACAGAAAAGGTATTGACCGTCCGACCACCGATCTCAGATCTGAATCTCCATGAGGTCGGGAAGAGCCAGGTTTTAAATAAAACTGACTGTCATTTGGATCGAAAAGACCCTTTCGATTTATGAAATCACGTTGCAGCGTGGCTATTGTTACGTCCGCATGTCCCTCTTTAGTCTCTAAGCTCGACGAATATTGGAGTGGAATATATGATGATATGGAAAGTTTGATTGAAGTTACACTGGTGTTACTGTAAATATGTGCCTTTAGCTTCAATGGTCAGGGTCATTATGAAATTTGAACTCCAATCCAGAACCGCAGACTAGGATAGGTTATCATGAGTAAGTAGTACACCTTGGGTACAACAATGGATCAATTATAGTGGATTCAGCCAACACAGCAGCTCTATCTGAAATCTAACGCGATCAACCATGGCTGTTGTGTCCCTCTTCTTATGCATGTAGTATCTTTGAAGACTTGTAATTAGAATATGTTTTCTTTCCGTATCTAATCATGAGACATTATTAAGTACCTGAATTGTGTTGTGGTCATTATAATATGGATTGGCATGAAAGTTTTGGGATTAGAATTTCAGTTTTTGACATGGTATTTTCCCTTGAGATGAAACTTTGGTAAGTGTCTAGCTGCTGTATTGTTTTTGTACAATCAGGAGACTGAAAGACTACATTATCAACTTATACCAATTACTAAAACCAGAACAAACGAACGAATAATGACATATGTGGAAGGTTTGTTCTGCAATATGAACAGTGGGACGATAAAGGTTGACTAGCAAAATGTAACTTTTCTACTCCTTTGGAGTAACTACCAACAAATATAAATGATTTTCTCAATTATTTTCAAGTAGCTTTGATTGTATTTATACACATAAGAATGTACTGGATTGAAATTAGAACAACCTGTGCAATAACGTATTGAGTAATTGTGATTAGGTACAAACACAAAACCTCCACAAATCAAAACTAAAAGTAGATGAATAAGTGATTAGACTGTATAAATACCAACAGAGATACTTTTCTTTATTGCGGATTATCGGATGAATTATGACGAACAAGAAGTTGATGATGGAGCACAGTAAATTTATGCAGGAAGTTTACCAACTTCCATTTCCAGCAAAAGATTTTAGAAGCAGTTGTGGAAGCTGCACAAGGCTGTTTAGATTAAAAAAAATTGAAATTAACAAACCAGCTTGTACAATAACTTTTACTGGGGGAATCACGTAACTCTATCTGAAATCATTTGTTGCTTTCAAAGCTTTCTGGATGAGACAAGAAAGCACACTCAAACAAATGGGACAGCGTAAAATTCAAACTAGGATGAAGTCATTAAAGATTTCATCAACAAACAGACATGCAAAAACATTCTCCAAGAACCTGAATGATTGATTTTATATTACAGAAAATTAATCTTCGATGATCTCAAAAAGCGAATAAGTAGGTTGCTATTTCATAACACAAATTTTCTTTGCTCATGTTGGGTGTAATCTTCTTTTTTCTCACGCCCTCACTTATCCATTTATTTTTTATTAAGTCTTTCCTTTATAATGTATTCTTTCATCAGAGATTCTTTTCACATTGAACTTGATTTAAGAGATAACTGCATAAAGTCATTGACAGTTAATTTGCGCGACATTTATTGATTAATTTGAACACAAGGCATTATACAAAAGGGGAACTAAAATGTATATGTACTGTACAATAAAATTGAGATGGTGAAGAGATGAGGCAAAGTAAGTAATAATATAAAACGAACAAGAATGAATAGAAATTAGTGTGAGAAATAACACAAGGAGCAGTTCGGTTAATAAAAATACGAGAAAAGATCCTTTCTGTTACACAGTCCCTCTAGTTTGTAAGAAGGAAGCTACATGAGGATCATTACTGGCTTTCAATGAGACTTGATAGTGTTTCAAACCATTGGTGCACCATATATAGAACTTCAACTAGTTCGTCTGAGCCATATCGGAATGTGCAGATCTCCTGGTTGCAAGTCATAGCCAATGGCACGAAATCTACCAGCTGCCCAATTCTGTTCAGTCAGAATCCCATTCCAAAACTTGAGTTAAGTACCAAATCTTATCTTATTGTAGGTTCAGATTACTGTCAATTGCGAAGATCGATATGCAGTCAGTAACCTAACCTTTGATAAGTTCGACTTGGGTAGTTTGCGTAGTCTTACTTATTACAGTTATAGGAGACATGACATAGTGATAGATTATTCTGTTGGGATGTGAAGTAGCCGAGTGGTTACTATTCAAGCATATACATATAGTGACGATAAAAAGACTTCAGAGATTTTGATAGTGTATTACATATTGCATACACAAACATAGAGCAAATATCAAGACAAATTACACGATCAGTATGTTTTAACGACTCGTATTCATGTTTGAAATAAAATCCCACTGATAATTAAGAATAAATTTGAGAAAATAAATTTACAAAGAAAAACTGCAAAAAAGTCACTTCTCCATGTATAAAACACCTTAACATTGTCAATTCAGACAGGAATGTAGAATAATCACAAGTTGGTTATCAGAGCTAATCACAGTTAAATTTTGATTCAACACTTCGATATCAATGCTTTGTTTTGGGAAAACTGATTAAGTTTAGGTGATTTAATTTACTGAGCGAGATATATGCGAACAATACACACTGAGTAGGCAATACAAACCAAATGTAGCCATTAAAACAAAAATTAATATTTGCCAGTGTAATAGTAGGTAAGTGCTATAGACAAAAGCGATTCCCGAAACAATAGACTGAAAAGAAAAAGTATGAAATGTATATATGTAAATTCTGGACAAAAGAATGCTATATAAATTCTAAATCACTCCTGAATTGTCGGAAGAGGTTGATTCTTGTTCTCACCGGTACTCCTACTACTACTATTATTAGCTAACTTACTTCGAAGTGAATAGCATTCTTGGAACTGAAACGTCCACTGTATGCTAGTTGATGAGTAAATGCAAAACGATCTAGTGAGTAACTTTGTGTAAACAACTGTTTTAGAATAAACTTGTTGCCAAATTATTCTTGTCTGCATTGAGGAAAGTTGAACATATTAGTGGAAAGGTATGAATGATAATCAAACTATGGGTATACTACATACAATAAGCTTTAAATTCTGTATTCTATAATGTCAAGAAAAAGTATGTATTAGTATAGAGAATTTGCACAGATTGTATTATTTTCTTAGTTGAATTCACAAACTGATCTTAACTACATCACCATTGACAATTTGGAAGTACTGGGCAGTCGTTTTGTCTTAATTAATATAAGATTTTCTTAAAGGTTCAAACTTCGATTTCCACTCATGGGATCGTGGATACACACTACTGGGAAGTCTCATACTACAACAAAACAGCCGTCACAGTGCTTTCAGGTTATTGATAGTGATCTAACAAAGACTGTTTGTTCATGATTTCAGCTGTAAAAGACTATGTGTATATACACTTACCTGAACAGATTTAAACAAGGCAAAGCCTACTGTAACATCCTTTCCATGATCACCATAAATAAAACCAATTAAAGTAGATATTTGTGTATTCCACACAGAATCCACACCGCCAAATAAAAATGCTATGAACATAGCTAAATAGACACTGGAAAGAAAATGTTAACCAATTGCCCATTATTAATATTTACATCAAAAATAAATTGACTGATGTTAATTAAGAAACAAAACATACTTACATCGAGTCGATAACAGCATTTTTACCCCACTAATTCTATATTTCTTTGTCACGATATTCATCCAATATCCTAAGAGAATTACTGGTCAGTTCCTATTGGTTAATTCCTATGGTCAATTTAATGGTCGTACTCTTCATGTACTCCAATGTTGTTTTCTATCGGTCGTCTTAACTGTCAATGTCAAAGACTTCGATTCAATTTCCTATTCGACCTAAATGTATCAAGACGCATTATCTGTAAAGCTTTTGATTCCATTCCATTCCTTCCTTCGTTCATTCATTCGTCTCTACTGTACTCAACCCCATAAACAAATTCATCTAACGTAGATTTGCGAACAGTATTTGGTGTCGTATAGGAATATCTGAATTTGGACGTCGGTAGGATTTGAAAAGCTACTTAGTGTCTTTATAACATTCGTTAAGATTTATTTTATACGATATACATGAACTATTTGTTGATGATTTGATATATGGTAGAGCTTCGTTATGAATATTTAAGCGATCTAGTAGTATAAATTAAAATTTATCATGACAGAACATTTTTCTGAATAAATCGACAATTGATTACTTGTTACCTAGACATGTTCGTTAATTTTAATTGTTCATTAACTGAGTGTTTTGTGTTACCTGGAATTTGTCGGCTGGATGTACCTGCATCTCATAGTTGATGCCCACTCACGGACTCAAACTCAGCAACGTCTGCTTCAAACACTATCGTATTATCCACTTAGCTACTAAGTCCAAATAGCCATTCACTTGTGAAACGGGTATGAGATTTAATGGAACAGTCATTATGACACAAGCTTATGTACAATAAGGCTGTAGTGAACGAGAACACAGGTGGGGCAACCGGATTGTATTTGACGAAAATTACAGAGTTACTCAGTAAAATCGGAAAACCATATCGTAAATCGTTAATTTGCAAAATATCAGTTCCTCATATCGAACTGGACTGTTCCTGTTGCAAAACATCAATCCATTGTCACTATTCATGATGCGTTTCATACAAATTCCATTGTGTTCTAACTCTTCCTTTCTTGATCTTCCCCCCATCTTCTGCTGCCAGATATTACGTTGACACTCACGTCATATACTACTTATAAGTAGCTCGCACCACAAGGCTAGTGCAGTCGTAATGGCTCTGTACTTTATCATGACTGTTTGCCCAACTTCGAACTGAAACAGCTCGGCTATCTACGTCATTTTTAGTTGATTAAGCAATAAAATTGCATTAGTGAGTTAAAGAATTTAGTCAATTGACAGGTTAATGGTCTACATCTAGTAGCCAATTAGTATAGAGTGGTAAGTCATAAAGGACGAAATAGAACTATAGTAGATAACATCTTAACTTACTTGGGAGTGATATAAGACAACTCATCTGTATCTTTTATAAAACTATTCTTCGGCAGCATCATGAAAGTGAAATAACCCGCTATAATTGCACTGATATAGCCAAAAATAATAAGGATTCCCTCTAAGCGAATCCATCGACTTAAATGTGAAGAAAAACTGCCTACAATAATAAAAACACAACAACAATAAATGGAATGTATGTATTCCAAAAAAAATTATTGCTCCCGCACATATAGAGTAGACATCCAGAACTTCCAAGTCCGATTTATTTCTGAAACATGTTAAGGTGAAGTTCTGGTTCATACCGAAGTGATGCACAACCAAATGCCTTCAACGGTAAGTTCAAGTTTGTAACAACAGCATTGACTGCTCGGTTGTACCAGGATAAACAAGCAATGCTTCGAAGATATCGATAATCAAATACTAATGACCCAGAAACATCCTCAACTCTAACCGGCCATGTTTCAAAGTAGGACGGGGCAAAATGCTGCGCAGTACACTCATCCTTAGGTTAGCAAACGGATATATCGTCTACGCCATACGTGACGCAAGTTGGCTAAAGCCAATCGAGCCTTCTCTGTCCATGCTGACATATTGTCACGAACCAGGCCTTCAGCAAGGATGAGCCCCGAGATAAGTGAAGTGGTTATTTCACTCAACTAGTTCACACCTTACAACTAGCTCAGGCGCAGATGCAAGCCAATCTAGAAGCAATAGTTTGCATTTCTTGGGTAAAAACTGCACCCTGAACATGCTAGTCATGTCATGAGCATACAGTAAGTCAACAAGCGTGTGTCCTGGTGTCCTGAAGTGATATAGTTCTGCTTTAAGAATGATTCCTATTCTATGCAGATTCATGACGAGAACTAATCATGTGAAACAAGAGAGACTTGAATTCTAATGAATAATAATTACATACCGGCTATTTCTCCAATTCCAATGAATAGACCAGCCAATCCAATATAAGATTTTGCATTTTTACCAAAATGTAAACAATGTCCTAATGCAGAAGCATATAGACTTGAATAGAATGTCAAATTAATGCCTGAAAAAGAATTTCAAAACATGGAACAATAACAAAATGAAAATTTGTTCATTGCAAAATGTTAATTAAGGAAGCATCTTTTAATTCCCTTTTTGAACATTGACTGTGGAAATTTGACAGAGTACATGTTCAAAGGAATATTGGTCGGTGGCTAACTTTTAGTTGTAAATACTATCAAGTTGATGACAGAAAGGTAATGGTTTACTACGGAAGTTGACGTATGGGAAAGTTTTTCATAAAACTATACTTTTACAACTCTACTATCTCTTAGCCTTACTTTTATGCAGTGAATGATTGAAGAATATTCACTATTCAGTAGGGTATGCATAACCCTGTCAAACAGAAAATGATCAGGTTTCATAGCGGATATGTCACAGTATAATGACTGGATCAGACACACAAACACTCTACATGTTCAACTTGAATGTTACCTCACTGCGTTTGGTGCCGTCAGGATAACTTACCCACATATGGTTGAAAGTCATCTGTTTGATCGTGAAGTTCTCGAACACTTGGTCACACACTTACTTACTTACTCCTGTTACGCCCAATGGAGCGCCCTCACATCTGCATCGGATCCACTTTGGTTGTCGATGATGCTGCCAAGATATGTGAGGGTGTTAACGTCCTCCAAGGCATCTCCATCAAGAGTGATTTGGTTGGTGTATGTAGTGTTGTATCGGAGAATCTTACTTTTCCCCTTATGTATGTTGAGACCTACTGCCACACTGGTCGTCTTCTCTTGCATCTGTTGTTGCATGTGCTATAGAAGAGCCATATCATCTAAGGAGATCAGATCGTCCAGCTGCATCCTGACCGTCCGCTGTATACTATGCTTCTCTCCAGATGTCGGCGTCTTCGTAATCCAGTCGATCACCAGGAGAATGAGAAAGGGTGAGAGTAAGCAACCTTGCTTGACACTGGTCTTCACCTCGAACGAATCTGCGAGCTGTCCTCTGTGCATAATTTTGCAGTTTAATCCATCATAAGAATTCCGTATGATGTTGACTATCTTCTCAGTCACGCGGTAGTGTCGAAGAAGCCTCCATAGTGATGTCCTGTCCACGCTATCGAATGCTTTCTCGTAGTCAATGAGGTCGATGTAGAGTAGTGGGTTCCATTCAATTGATTGTTGCACAACGATCTGTAATATTGCAACTTGGTCAGTACACGATCGATGCTTACGAAATCCAGGCTGTTGATCTCGAAGTTGGGCGTCTACGAAATCCTTCATTCTGTTTAACAATACCCTGTTGAAGACTTTGCCTGGTATTGAAAGAAGAGTGATGCCTGTGTAGTTCTCACACTTGCTGAGATCGCCTTTCTTTGGTATTTTGATCAGGTATCCTTCTTTCCAATCTGATGGTACTTGTCCCTCATCCCAATTCTTCTTGAAGAGGATGTGAAAAATTTTCGCTTCCATATCTGCTTGATTTGTCTGATGGCCATGCTGATCTTTTCAATTGTAGGTGCGCCAATATTAATTGGGAGATCCGTGGATGCTGCTTCGATGTTGGGTGGATTCAGTGGAGCTGGTCGATTCAGGAGTTCCTTAAAGTGCTCTACCCACCTGTTTCGCTGTTCTTCAGTGTTGCTGATTAATTGCCTTCCTTGCTTTTCACTGGTCGTTCTGGTTTACGATAGTTTCCGGCGAGCTTCTTTGTTGTATCGTAAAATTGTCTCACGTTTCCTTATCCTGCAGCCTTTTCCGCCGTCGTTGCTAGTTCCTCCACATATTTCCGTTTGTCGGCTCTGATGCTCTCCGGTCACGAGCCCAGATAAGGGAGGAGGGTTGGAAACCCTGTTCCACAAAAAGACTAACTCTCTCTCTAACCAGAAAACCTTATCCAAAAGTTTAATAAACTACAAATATTAAAATACCGTTTACCAACTTGATTGGTTAAACCTAGAAATCTATTGGTCTGCATACTTATCGATTTTTATTATCCACGTTCGTAGTATTTTATTCATTTATTTACTTGGACAATTTAAGGTTTAATGTGGTTTCTGTTTGTTCTTGATCGATCAATACGCATAGGCCACCCTTAGTAATTAATACACAAACAAGGATAAAAAGACTGATACTGCGTGCTTTGTCTATGCCTTTACGTTGGAACATTGCGCCACGGATGGCCAGTTTGTTGAAGGCACATAGGTTTGCAAATCTCTCACCGTTTTCGTTCCTTTCTCCCAGTCCATGTCGTCCCATGATGTCTTCATATCCAGTGTTGTCCATTCCAACCTTGGCATTCAGGTCTACCATAAGAATCGTCAAATCCGTTGGTGAACATTTCTCGACGATTGACTGCAGCCTTTCGTAGGATTGATCTATAACGTCTTCATTGCAGCCATTGGTAGGTGCATAGCATTGGATGATGTTGATTGTAATGTCCTCTTTCCTTTTTTTGAAGGATGCTTTAATGATCCTCGGTCCATGAGATTCCCATCCTATCAGTGCCTTTTGTGCATTTTTGCACAGCATCAATGCAACTCCTTGTGTATGTGAAGCATTTTCCTCTTCATGACCAGAGTATAACAGCAGTTTCCCTGAAGCTAGTCTCAGTTGTCCTACCTGTGTCCAATGCGTTTCACTGATGCCGAGCACCTCGAGGTTATATCTTTTCATTTCTGCCGCAACTTGAAATAGACTTCCAGTCTCCCACAATGTACGGACGTTCCATGTACCTAAAAGAATGGTTGCTCTGGTTGTCAGAAGGGGCATCAGCCTCGTGGCTTCCGAGGGAACTCGGCTTTCATCACACGACGTCATAATTCTTCTTCCAGCTCCTAGGGCAGAGTTAAAATGGTTTGGATTATTTTTTCTGGTTAGCGTTTATTTGGCAAGTTAGTTTATATTTGGGATGGGGTCACCAACCCCATGTCCAACCATCCTCCTTTATCCAGGCTTCGTACCGGCAGTAGCCCCGAAGGTTCTACAGGCAGAGTTTTGGTCACACACACTTCAAGTTAAATATTTTTATCAGTTTTTATTTGATAGTTAACCCATTGACTAACAAATTTTATTGTAAAAATGAACACTTGGTAATATTTTCATGAGTCATGTGGTGGACAATAACGAATTGATTAGTTTTATTGATAAGCGCGCAAAAGTCGATAGTTGGACAAGAAATTCATGTAATCAATAAAAGCACTTTATTTATAAAGCCTCTCAATCATAATTCTTTCAACTATTAATGATGCTTTATGAAGCTTATTTAACTACTTGACAGGATGTTTTGAAGTCTACTTTAACGTGAATTTTATAGACGACTTGATGATTTCACTATTTTGTTATTAGGGGCCTATAAGTTTAGCTATAGGTCAAGATACAAGCAGGATTACATATGAAGAACACCCATAAACTTGAAATGATTAGTTCACACAATACTGGGAGGCAAGATCCCGCCGGGTCAACTTGAATCTTTATAAAACATTCCTATATCAGTCTGTCAACAAATTTCTGGTTGTCAAGAAAATATCAGAAACGGCCGAGTGATAGATGGGATAGAATCGTTCAGGGATTCGAATTGACAATTGCATCGATCTGCCAATGTGATATGGCAACCTGAACTGATGTACTTACGTACGAAGTTCCACGCTGTAACTGACTGACCGACTAACTAACTGCTACGCACGCACGTAAGCACGTCAACTTGATATACTTGAACTATTACGAGTTTGCCTAGTCGGAAAACGAGAGCGAGGGCCGAGGATCCGGTGACACGACATGCTACTCAAATCCGTTAATCCCAACCCCCATTTTGAGTGAAAATAAGAAGACATGATATGAAGTAGAACCTGTATTCTACATTTAAAAAAGAAAGATTAATGAAAAACAAACACAGGATATATGATAGTTGTGTTAGATATGAATATGAACGATTAAAACAAAAACGGACTAAGGCCTAAATTCCAAACATTAAATAGAAAGGAAATTGTGAACATCATCAGTTATAAGTGGAAAAACTTAATTAACAAACCAGTTATTCAGTTTAATCCAACTTACCAGTAAATGCTGCTGCCACAAGTATACAAATCATTGGTTTTGTCATTAGGATACTAACTGATCTACCTGGAATAACACAGACATGTGTATATAGAGTAAGTGGAGGAGGAGGTTAAAAAAAATAGTAAATTAAATTAGAAGTAACAATTGAAAAAACTTACTGACTATGAAAAATGTAGTAGATTTTTAAGAATCGAAAATAGATATGCGAGGACTAACTTGATATATATCAGAAATTAGATGAACTATGAGTAGTGGTTAAGTTATTATTTCAAAATATAGGATCATTCTATAATGATTGTTTGTTCAAGTAATTACTGTCCATTGTGAAGCAAAACACTGACAATTTGAAATATGTATAGATAGTTACTGTGTTGTGTCCTAACACCGATCAATATGCATACGCGACTTTTAATCCTCTTCAACAAAATTTGGAATGAGGAACAACTACCATCAGACTTGAAAGAAGGACATCTCATCAAAATACCAAAGAAAGGCAATCTTAGCAAGTGTAAGGACTACAAAAGCATCACTCTTCTCTCAATACCAGGCAAAGTCTTCAACAGGATATCGTTAAACAAAATGAAAGACTTCGTAGCCGTCCATCTTCGAGACCAACAGGCTGGATTTCGTTAGGATCGATCGAGTACCGACCAAATTGCAACATTACAGACCATTGTGGCCTTTCTTCAGGATACTGGAAAGCTCAATGAATTTAAGACAACCCTCAGCAATAGGTTCGAGGCATTACACGATCTACTCAATGGATAGAAAACAATCATGGAGAATAAATGGAAAGGGATCAAGGAGGCAATCACTTCAACATGTCGGCAGGTTCTGGGCCACAAGAAGCACTATTACAAGGAATAATTCCCTGTTGGTAATCTTGATAAAATTCAAGAAAGGAAGAACAATCATTTTAATGGAACTCACCACTCTACATCAACTTCATCGACTACGAGAAAGCATTCGATAGAGTGGACAGGAAAACACTATAGAGGCTTCTTCGACACTACGGCGTGCCTGAGAAGATAGTCAACATAATTCAGAATTCTTATAATGGATTAAACTGCAGAATCGTGCACAGAGGACAGCTCACAGACTCTTTCGAGGTGAGGACCAGTGTCAGACAAGGTTGCTTACTCTCACCCTTTCTCTTTCTCCTGGTGATCGAATGGATTATGAAGACGTCAACATCTGGAGGAAAGCACAGTCAGGATGCAGCTGGACGAACTGAACTTCTTAGATCATCTGGTTCTTCTATCGCACACGCAACAACAAATGCAAGAGAAGACGACCAGTGTGGCAGCAGCCTCAGCAGCAGTAGGTCTCAACATACATAAAGAGAAAACTAAGATTCTACGATACAACACAACGTGCGCCAACCAAATCACTCTTGATGGAGATGCCTTGGAGGACGTTAACACCCTTACATATCTTGGCAGCATCATCGACAATCAAGGTGGATGCGATTCAGATGTGAGGGCGCGGATTTGCAAAGCAAGGGCTGCATTTCTACATATGAAAAATATCTGAAACTCCGAACAAATATCAATTAACACCAAAGTCAGAATCTCCAATACAAATGTCAAGACAGTTCTACTCTACGGTGCGGAAACTTGGAGAACTACGAAAGCCATCATCCAGAAAATACAAGTGTTCATTAACAGTTGTCTACGCAAAATACTTAGGATACGTTAACATGGCCGTTAAGAGTAGAAGATGTTCGTAGGTTTCTAGTATTCGATCATAGATGTCTTAGAAGCATTGCTCGTATATCCTGGGACAACCGAGTAAGCAATACTGTCGTTAGGAAACGAGTACTAGGTAAGCATGGCAAATCAATAGATGAATTTGTGAAACTTCATCAGCTGAGGTGGTTGGGACATGTGTTGCGTATGCCGAACCACCGACTGCCTCGACGAGCTATGTTTTGTGGTGTAGGAGTAGGTTGGATGAAAGCTAGGGGCGGCCAGACCAAAACATGGCACAAATCCATGAAGTCACTGACAAGTGGACTGAGTCATGTTGGTAGATGTGGTCTACCTGGTTGGGGTCCGCGAGACGAAAGTCACCAATGGTTGGAGACGTTGAACGATATGGCTCAAAATCGTTTGCAATGGCGCAAATGCATCCATTCGTTGTGCTCACTCAAATCCTAATCTTCTGGATTCGTCAGCACCTATGCCTTTGTCTTTCTGACCTTATCTCACTGAATTATACTTCTTGAATAATATCTTCAAACCCTAGTCTTCTTCATTACCATTAATACCTCTACTATCTTTATCACTATGAGATTTGATTTGACATTTGCGTCTCTGTGCTAATGTGGTATGTCAACATGAACTTATGTACATACGTACGAATTTCTACGTCGCAACTGGCTGACTGACTTAGGATCCGTTAACCAGACACCATCAGCAACAACCTACTATGGGAGAGAACAATCCAGATTCCAGTGGAGGAGGAAGTCAGGAAGACGTGGTGGAAGTGGATAGGACACACTGCGTAAAGCACCCACCTGCGTCACAAGACAAACACTCACTTGGAACCCTCAAGGTACAAGGAAAAGAGTAAGGCCAAAGAATACATTACTCCGACAATAAGGGAATGATATGAGAAGAATGAACAAAAATTGGACAGAACTGGAAAGGGAAACCCAGGACAGAGTAGGTTGGCGAAAACTGGTCGGCGGCCTATGCTTTATTGAGGGTAACAGATGTAAGTACTAAACTTTTAAATTAATAAGTTTTATGCAGTAGAATAAAGCGAACAAGTTACACAACTAAATCTTGTTGATATCGAATAAAAAAACTTACGTAATGTGTGTAAAACCGATTGAAAAACTGTTGAACGATTTTGTATTCTGTGAATGAAGAGAGATCTAAAAGTGTGGACTTTTAACACTTATTGAGACTTTACTTCAATTGCACAGTGATAACAATAATCTATTTTATGAGGTTTTAGTAAGTACACTTAACAAGGCCGTGTGTAGCCAAGTATTGAAAACTCATCAGAGGATAAATACGTTTATTTTACTGTGTGAATTAATTCAAAAGAGTAAAAAAAATAATAAAAACTGATCACATATGTTAAACTTTGAACATCGGATGATAATTAATATTAATGAAATAAAAAATATGCTTGAAAGATGCAGTTTTAGAAAGACTAAAACTTGTCCATCGGAATTCACTACCAGTCTTGCAACACATATCATTATGCTGTCAAAAATACGAAATACAAAAGGATTCTGGAAAACCAATATGTGTAAAGTTAACCGAACATAGGTGAACCAATAGTAGTAGGAAAATTTATAAAATATGATAACTAAAGTAGGTCAAAGGTGGATGAATAGAATTCAAATAATCATCAAAAACACCAAAAACATTACGTAATAAGCAAATGTGTAAAAATAAAAATAAAATAAAGATTATAATGTCAATCGTTAGTTACGTCATATCCGGCCACGGAAGAGATTGTGGTGTCACGAATTTCTTCTGAACACATAAATTAGGGTTGAATGTACGAATTCCTATGGCTTCTGCAATGTGTAGGAGACAGGATCGAACTCCGTTGGGAAATGATGAAGGTATACGATAGATTACCCGAAAAGATCTACATTTATCTACAATAAGACCACTATCTACCATGTGTGCTAAGATAGAACTGCGTATTGTTTTTGACTGACCCTTCGTAAACCATGCTGGGAGATGTTCACTCATTCGTTGGGTAAGTTGCCTGGAAGTACGCCCGATATAGCTATCTCCACAGGAGCAGCTGAATTTGTAAATGCACATAGAGGAGGCCAACTCAGGTAACTTACCCTTCGTTTGCGTAACCATCGCTGGTCGGCAGGAGAACGTCAATGCAAGTTTGGCAGCGTTGAATGTTCTATTAATTACTCTTATTAGTCTGTCCTGCAGAGTATCGCAGACCACATCTCCGTTGAATTGTAACTTCATAAATAAAGACTTCTTTTTATTTTATTTTTACACATTTGCTTATTACGTAATGTTTTTGATGTTTTTTGATGATTATTTGAATTTAATTCATCCACCTTTGACCTACTTTAGTTATCATATTTTATAAATTTTCCTACTACTATCGGTTCACCTATCTTCCTACTATCCACTTGTAATTTTGCCTTTTTCATTTCATTGTGATTATCACTCAAATTGCCTTGATTGGTTTAACATTTTCATATAAATATTCATGTATATATTAGAGAGTAAAGCCTGATGACGATCTCATCGAAAACAATGTTGTTCGCTTGTATGTGTTGTTCTAATTTTCTTAACCGAACATATCGGTTAATAAGATATAAATAAATGAGATGTGACTAGATATGGAATCCAAGACGCACATCTCAACTATTCTATGTAATCATCTTGTGATAGAATGGCTTTATCGAGACAATCTGAATAGGAAAAAATATAAACCAGGTAAGATTGATCAAATATTAATCAAAAATATTAATGACGGAATATAAACCAAACTATTACAAATTGAATTACATCGGTCTTATGTTATTAACTGAAAGAAGTCATATCACAAACACGCTAGTAACTTTATTAACATGAATCATGTACCCATCATGATATGGGTTCGATAATCCATACTCTCTAAAAGTTTATCATTGTAAAAGCAAGCTCAGAATTTAGACAGCAATCCACTGAAGTCTAGTCTCAATATATCAGAACTACTTAACATGTGGTTAAATCTGTCATCAACTGGGCTCTTCAAATTAATAAGATGATAATCTAATTTTAGTTAATGGAACAGTTTTCGAATTTACTTCTGAGCTGAGATTATAAGACAGTTAATTGATAGAAGATTCAGTTTGGACCGGCTAATGACAAAACCTCCTGTATTTCCTGCTCGTCGCACACACATCAAGATACTGAGTGAAGTTTACAAATTTCGTTAAAATTTACATCTCTCTTAGTTTCATTTAGAAGAAAACAGTCAACAGCGCTTTATCATATAGATAATCAAGAAGCATAATTTTCGAAACTGAAGTTGGAAGTAGCTGTTTAAAAAACATATTATGCCATTATTAAATAGACTGTCACAGAGGGGACTATAACCACAACTTAACATCCTATAAATGAATACACCATATTTCAGAGCATCTATCGATTCGCATGGATAACTGGACTGTCCAACCAATAACGATGGAACATGTCCTTAATGAGCTTCAAAAACGCTTCAAACGCTACTTTAAAGCGACGTACCATTGCAAGAGGACATAAGATCGACCTTGAAATGGGTATAGGAATTGTCAGGAGAGCGTTCTTAGGGGTTTGTGTAATCTCTGCTTATTGGAATTTTCAACTTATCTTTGTGTAAGGAAAACAAAATGTCCCCACTTTGAATTTTTTGTTCCTGGTGATCTTATATTTTCAATTACGGATTAGTATTATTTGTGCAACCACCTTTAGTTCTCACAAAAAAAGGTAAATGCTTTCCGAAACATATTGCATAAATATAGTATTTCAACTCGTTTTTTTTTCAAGATTTTCACAGCGTTTGTTAAAATAACCACAGCGTTTTTTAAAAATTTTTATAATCCTTCAAAAAAAAAATGTTTCTTAAACATCGATTAATATCAACTCAGAATCAAGTAAAATTAAACCGACAGATAAGATATATGCGCAAAATTTTAGTGAATATCGAAGACTCCTTTCATTTGTATTTGACAAGAACTTTGGGAAGATCTATCTATATACAAGAGAAAAACCAGCAAATGACATGGTTTCGTCAACACTTGGAACGAATGTAAGTTTGATTGATATCCACAATAACAGAAAATGAAGTTCTTTCTGCTTAAACATTTTTTGGTTCAATGAACTCTGATAAGTTTATTCATTCATTTTTTTTGATCGATTGATTGAAAAGTGCAATCAAAAATCAATTTTTAAGAATTGAATTCTTATCTTTAATAATGCAACGATCCACCACTCCAATATTACCAAAAACGTTTTTAGATGAAAAGGGAGTAGAGATTATGTTTTTGTCCCCTTACAGTTAGTTATATGCTTAATCCAATTGAATTTGCATTTTCAAAAATTAAATCCATTGTATATAAGAAGATTACTGGTAAGCGGTGTAAATGAATCATTTACAAATCTTATATTAAATTCTTTAAATCAATTAACCACAAATGATTTACACGTTCAACCACTTCACTCCCTCTGCGTAGTTCAAGTGCTGACTTGAACCAAACTTGAAGCAACATTTTACAATTTAAGCAGGAAAACCGCTGTGTTGCTTTGGGTAGTTAGCCGACTCTAACGAACACCACTAATCATCATCATCATCATCAACAGCAACGTAAAACTTTACACGTAGGTACAGCACTTCCAGTTGCCATACCACATTGGCACAGAGATACAATTGTCAATTCAAATCCCATAGTAGTTGAGGTAGTAAAATTATTAGAAGTAGTCGGAGAGATTTGGGTTCAAAGATGTTATTCAAAAAGCATAATTTATAAAGAGAGAAAGAAAGAAGTGATCAGGAATTCAGAAGGTTAGAATTAGAGAGAACACAAAGAGTCGATGCACCTGCGCCATTGCAAACGAATGAATTATAAGATCATCCTTTTCCGAGATGGTTTCACTCACATTCGGGTTCCTAATACCGGTTTCCTCGATGAGTCTGAATACTTGCCTACTGCTGCCTATCACCTCTGCCTTTTCCATCTCACTTGCTTTCGCTACCCGCCACCGTTCTCGATCGTTGGGTAGGCATTTTATCAGCCTGCGCCTGAGCTGACTCCGCTCCACATCGTACTCAGAGCTAGGAGGGATGAGCTTTCGAGCATCCATCAGTTCAGTAGATGCTACTGAAATCCACGGCTTCTCCCTAACCTTATGGTTTACCCTACTAGAATATATCACAGCTGTTTCCACAGACTTTTTGATATCATTCCAACCTGCTACTTCCGGATGGGAATCGCTTATATGGTCGCCTAACTGTTTTTCTAGTTTTTCCAGAAATTCATTCTTAGCTTTAATATCATTAAGTAGAACCCTAAGAAGTTTCCTCGCGATATTTTACTTGCTTCCACTAAGACGCAAAAAAATATGCGCTCGCACTAGAGCATGGTCTCAGTCTAAACATGCGCCCAAGAACGAGCGACAGTCCTCTATCGAACCCCTCCATCGGTGGCTGATGGTGATATAATCTAGTTGGGTCCAACGTTCAGTCGGCTTTGGGGGTCGCCAGGTCGAGAGATGCTTTTCCTTATGCCTAAAGTTAGTGTTTGCTAAGAATGGACTGTTATCTGAGGATTGCTGCAGCAGACGGTCGTCATTATCTGTTCTATTAGCCGCAACACCATAAGATTCACACAGGTGTCTTTCCTTTAGGCTGAGTCTACCTACTTGAGCGTTAACGTCACCAGCCATTATTACTACATCAGGGCGCTTAACATTTTGGAGAAGTTTAGAGAGGTTTCTATAAAACTTATCTTTCATGTCGTCTGAACTGCAGTCAGTGGGAGCATAGGTAGATACGACGAAGAGTCAACGGCGAATGTCCCTATCCTTCCGAGTCCGTACCGTCCCGTTTAGTCGGACACTGCATAAGCGACTGTCTATCGGGATCCAGTCTAAGAGAGTTAGTTCTGCCCTAGGACTTATTACTATACCTACGCCAGCTAGGCAACGGGAAGCAGCATCACGGCCACCTGAAACACGTAGCGTAAACCCTGTTGTGTCTCTATCTGCACTAGGTCAGATCAAATTGACGATTTTAGTCGCATCTTGTATGCGCGTTTCGGAGACGCAACACACATTGATCGCAGTTCTAGCTAATGAAGCCTGTTGCCCTATTTGGCATAGGGTTCGAACATTAAAAGCTCTTATATGTAATTTAGTTCGGGGTTTCAGGAGACCAGGAATAATGTTTCGAGAGCTCACACCGTTTGCTTCAGTGGTGTGACAGACAGACAGACAGACAGATGCAACGTAGAACTTTGTACATAAGTACATCAGTTCATGTTGCCATACCACATCAGCACAGAGAAGTAATCGTCAATTCAAATCCAATAGTAGAAGAGGTAGTAAGGGAATTAGAAATAATCGGAGAGGTTAGGATTAGAAGATACTATTCAAGAAGTATGATTCAGTGAGATAAGTTTAGAGAGTCGAAACTAGAGGGGTTGATGAGTCCAGAAGATTAGGATTTGAGAGAACACAGAGAATAAATGCACCGGCGCCATTGCGAACGATTTTGAGCCATGTCATTCAAGGTCTCTAACCATCGATTATTATCATCTCGCGGACCCCAACCAGGTAGTCGACAATTACCAACATGGCTCAGTCCACTAGTCAATGACTTCATGGATTTCTGCCATGTTTTCGTTTGGCCGCCCCTAACTTTCTTCCAACCTATTCCTACACTACAAAACAAGGCTCGACGAGGCAGCCGGTGGTTGGGCATACGCAACACATGTCCCAACCACCTCAACTGGTGAAGTTTCAATACTTCATCTATTGATCTGCCATTCTTACCTAGCACCCGATTCCTAATAACAGGGTTGCTCACTCGGGTGTCCCACGATATACGAGCAATGCTTCGAAGACACCTATGATCGAAAACCATTAACCTACGAATATCTTCTACTCTCACTGGCCATGTTTCACAGCCATAAAGTAAGACGGAGCGAACTACTGCGCAGTACACTCGTCCTTTAGTCAGCAAACGGATATCTCGCCTACGCCATAAGTGACGCAGGTTGGCAAAAGCCAATCGAGCCTTCTGTATCCGTGCTGAGATTTCGTCAGTCACCAGGCCATCGGCACTGATGAGACTCCCCAGATAAGTGAAGCGGTCTACACGTTCGACTACTTCACTCCCTGTCACTAGTTCAGGTGCCGATGCAACCCAGTCTTGAATCAACATTTTGCATTTCGAGGGGGAAAACCGCATCCCGAACATGCTTGCATTGTTGCTTAGGGTAGTCAGAAGACTCTGCATTTTGTCAGCGTCTTCACCAAGTAGGACAATGTCATCGGCATATTCTAAGTCAATAAGCGAGCCACCTGGTAGAAGGTCTACTCCTGAAAATTCAGACGAGGATAAGGTTATATCTAGGAGCATGTCTATGATAAAATTAAACAAGAATGGAGAAAGTGGACATCCCTGACGGACACCACTTGATGTAGAGAATTCCGGTGACAGTTCGCCATAAGCTCTCACTCGACCAGTGGTGTTCGAGTAAAGAGCTTGTATGAGTTTAATGTACTTCTGTGGTACACCTTTCAATGACAGACACTCCCACAGAACCTCACGATCCACAGAGTCAAATGCCGCCTTAATGTCTAGGAAAACAACTACTGTAGGACGCCTAAATGTGTGTCTATGTTCCAGGACCTGTCTGAGCGTGAAAATGTGGTCTATACAACCACGTCCAGGTCGAAAACCAGCCTGGTTTTCTCGAGTCTGCTCTTCACGAGCTTTCGTTAAGCGTCGAAGTATTATTGAGGCCAGTATTTTAGATACTATATTAGTTAGACTTATTCCCCTGTGATTGTCACAAGAAGACTTTTGTCCTTTCTTATAGATTGGGACAATCAAGGATTGAGACCAGTCGGATGGGATTACGTCCAGTTCCCAGATTCTACCTAAGATCTCAGTCAACCTAGCTGCTAAAACTGGACCACCATCCTTAAATATCTCAGGGATCAGTCTATCAGGACCTGCAGCTCGTCCTCGTTTCAGATTTCCTAACGCTTTCTCAACGTCATTAAGACTAGGGGGACTTACGTCGATTTGCCATTCAGGATGACTGGAGATCGTGGGCAACCGAAGTGTGGCTGAAGGCCAGTTGAACTGATCCCTAAAGTGTTCTGCCCATCGATCCAGTCTCCTGGATTGAGAATGGATAATAAGACCATCCTTTTCCGAGATAGTCTCACTCACATTCGGGTTCTTAATACCAGTTTCCTTGATAAGTCGGAAAAGTTGTCTAGTGTTGCCGATCGCCGCTGCCTTTTCTATCGCTTTTGCTTTTGCCACCCACCACTGTTCGCGGTCGTTACGCAGACTTTTTATAAGTCTGCGCCTAAGCTGACTACGCTCTTCATCATGCTCAGAGTCAGGTGGGATGCGTTTTCGAGCATCCATCAGTTCGGTGGATGCGACTGAAATCCACGGCTTCATCCTAGCCTCATGGTTTACCTTACTAGCAGATATCACTGCTGTTTCCACAGCTTTTTTGATATCATACCAACCTGTTTCTGGATGGGAATCGCTTGCATGGTTGCTTAACTCTCTTTCTAGTTGCTCCTGAAATATTTTCTTGGTTTGATTATCATTAAGTAAAACCCTAAGAGGCTTCCTTACGGTGTCTTTCCTATGTCCAGTAAGCCTTAAACAGATACGAGCTCGCACTAGAGCATGATCTGAATCCAAACATGTGCTCCAGAACGAGCGACAGTCTTCTATCGAACCCCTCCATCGGTGGCTGATGGCGATGTGATCTAGTTGAGTCCAACGTTGAGATGACTTTGGAGGTCGCCAGGTCAACAGATGCTTTTCCTTATGCCTAAAGTTGGTGTTCGCTAAGAATAGGCGGTTATCTGAGCATAGTTGCAACAGACGGTCGCCATTGTCTGTTCTCTCAGTCGCTACACCATAACATCCACCAAGATGTCTTTCCTTTTCACCTAGTCTACCTACTTGAGCATTAAAGTCACCAGCCATTATAACTATATCAGAGCGCTTAACTTTTTGGAGGAGGTCCGAAAGCTTTCTGTAAAACTCATCTTTAACCTCGTCTGCACTGCAGTCAGTGGGGGCATAGGCAGATATGACGAAGAGGCAACGGCGAGTGTCCCTATCCTTACGAGTCCTTACTGTCCCGTTTAGTCGGACAGCGCACAAACGACTATCTACTGGGATCCAGTCAAGGAGAGATAATTCTGCCCTAGGACTCAACGCTATGCCTACGCCAGCAAGACCCCGGGAAGCAGCATCAGGGCTACCGGATACACGAAGAGTAAATCGAGCTGCTTCTTTATTTTGACAAGGTGAAATCAGGTTAATAATTTTACTAGGATCCTGTATGCGCGTTTCCGAGACGCAGCATACATCGATGGCACGAGATTCTAAAGTCCTAGCTAATGATGCCTGTTGCCCTATTTGACACAATGTCCGTACATTAAAAGCTCCAATATGTAGTCTAGAACGGGGTTTCAAGAGACCAGGAACGACGTTTCGTGATCTCGCTTCGTCTGCATTAGCGGTGCAGTGAGAAAAGGGAGTGTGAGTACAGTTAGTCGTAGAGATAAGAGAGACATTAGGGGGTGTAGGAAGGATTTGATTTTGAACAATTTGGCCTCGCATGCTGGTACGGGTATGAGGGCGGTTGTCACTTCCCGGCTGCCCACACCGTGGAAGGTTGTTTCTTGAGGGACCTGAAAAGGAAGATGGATTAGTGTTGGTGCGTGACCGCAGAGTCCAAGGGACAACTGCTTCAGGCCGGTCACGCACGGCCTTTTTATGTGAGGTATTTAGAGGATTAGCTCCGTTCTTAAAGGCCCAGTGGGCACCCTTACCCAGGGAGACGGAAATCCGTGAGTTAGGGGAGGTGTGACATTTTTAGGGCCGACCTTTTCTAACCCTTCCTTCCTTGTGAGAAGGCAGCATCGCTGCAGATGCTGGTTGTCCGAGGGAAACACCTTACTGCTGTCACACCCCTCTGCAGTCAGCAGTACGACTTCGCCCTCAGACCTTGGGTAGCTGCTTTTAGTCACATCGTTCTCCAATCGACCAGCCTGGCATGGTAGGACCTGCAGGAACATATGTTCCAGCCAGTATAGCTCGGTTGGGTCATCACGATAGGCAAGCCCGACCACCACGTCAAGGTAGCAGCTTCGGTCGGGTCAGTGGTGTGAGGTGATAAACGATCGAAAGAAGGGCTGGTCGAGGGGATAAGCTAGTTATTAAGAGGTGTAGGAAGGATTTGATTGTGACCCATCTGCTCTCATGTGCTGTTACGGGTATGAGGGCGGATGTCACTTGCCGGCTGCCCACACAGTGTAAGAGAAATTTTACTATCAATCTGTCTTGTTAATATTTGAAAAATGAATTCAATTTTTTCGGTTAAGTAGTATATTACTGGATAAGGAAATATCAAAAGTTTCTTGTTTACATTAATGGTTTACACATTGAGAAAAAAGGGTAAAAACACAAAAGACATCTATTTCATTGAATTAGATTCATGAACCCATCTAGGCTAAACCATCACTCAAAACCTGGAAGGACTGGACATCCATTCCGTTCTAGTATGTGAATCTTCAGCGGTGCGCATCCACGACCTCGGTAGTAGGAATAGAATCTGGGGCCTTTAGCCTCACGCAGGACTGACTCCCGCCCGCGGAGTCGTTTATGCGCACAGTTGAGTTCCGTACTAGGACGGAACAACCGTTCAGTGCTTCCAGGTGTTTTCAAAGGTGGTCTAGACTAGGTCTATTTATGATTCCTTACTAACCTATTCTACTGTGGTTAGAAAATCATAACTTGCTTTTATTGGCAGATCTTCCGTAAATGCCTATACATACTACCATGAAATCCTGGCGATTTAACTAAACCTAATATTATCTGATTGGGTTGTTTTACAGTACACATGATTCCTCAATAATTAAAATTAGTTGAGTTGTGTGAAAAATTTCACTTACGTTGGAAAATTTGCAGATAATTCATTTACGCTTTCATCGAGGGAATTTATCTCCACATCAATTAACAGCTGGTTCGAAATGCTATCCGTTTGATGAGGCTTTTTGAGCATGAACAATAATAAAATTCCCAAAATAGCACATCCTAGTAATCCGCCATAAAGCTGAATACGCAAAGTGCGAGAGATTTCATCTATATTCGATAGTGATAGGTAAGCGTATAGACTACCAACTATTTGACTGTTTTGAAAAAAATGTGTATATTGGAGAAATGTATATGGGTGAGGTTATGACTTTTATCAAATAACAGAACAAAATAATCATTCAAGTATGCTTGCAAAATGAGTAAATTTTAATTTTAATTGGAAAGAACTGCATTCGCTGAGAACTAAGGTGCATAGATCATGGTTGCTTAACTTTCCGTCTAGTTGCTCCTGAAATATTTTCTTAGTTCGATTATCATTAAGTAAAACCCTAAGAGGCTTCACTACGGTGTCTTTCCTACGTCCAGTAAGCCTCAAACAGATATGCGCTCGCAATAGGGCGTGATCTGAATCTAAACATGTGCCCCAGAACGAGCGACAGTCCTCTATCGAACCCCTCCATCGGTGGCTGATGGCGATGTGATCTAGTTGGTTCCAACGTTGAAACGACTTCCGGGGTCGCCAGGTCAACAGATACTTTTCCTTATGCCTCAATCTAGTGTCTGCTAAGAATAGGCAGTTATCTGAGCATATTTGCAACAGACGGTCACCATTGTCTGTTCTCTGAGCCGCGACACCATAACATACTCCTAGGTGTCTTTCATTTTCACTCAGTCTACCTACTTGAGCATTAAAGTCACCAGCCATTATTACCAAATCAGAGCGCCTAGCTTTTTGGAGGAGGTCCGAAAGCTTTCTGTAAAACTCATCTTTTACATCGTCTGAACTGTAGTCAGTGGGGGCATAGGCAGATACGACGAGGAGGCGACGACGCGTGTCCCTATCTTTACGAGTCCTTACTGTTCCGTTCAGTCGGATAGCACACAAGCGACTATCTACTAGGATCCAGTCTAGGAGAGATTATTCAGCCCTACGACTCGATGCTATGCCTACGCCAGCAAGACCCCTGGAAGCAGCATCGGGGCTTTCAGATAAACGAAGAGTAAATCGAGCTGCTTCTTTATTTTGACAAAGTGAAATCAGATTAATAATTTTACTAGGATCCTGTATGCGGGTTTCCGAGACACAGCATACATCGATGGCATGAGATTCTAAAGTCCTAGCTAACGAAGCCTGTTGCCCTATTTGACACAATGTCCGTGCATTAAAAGCTCCAACATGTAGTCTAGAACGGGGTTTCAAGAGACCAGGAGTGACGTTTCGTGAACTCGCTTCGTCTGCATTAGCGGTGCAGTGAGAAAAGGGATTGTGAGTAGAGTTCGCTGTGGAGAGAAGATAGGTGTGTGTCGGTGTAGGAAGGATTTGATTTTGAACAATTTGGTCTCGTGTGCTGTTACAGGTATGAGGGCGGTTATCACTTTCCGGCTGCCCACACCGTGGAAGGTTGTTTCTTGAGGGACCTGAAAAGGAAGGTAGATTAGTGTTGGTCCTAACGACCTGGGAGTGTGACCGCAGAGCCCAACGGACAACTGCTTGAAGCCGGTCACGCACGGACTTTATATGAAAGGTTTTTCGAGGATTAGCTCCGCTCTTAAAAGCCCTTAGTCGGCAACCTTACCCAAGGAGACGGAAATCGGTGAGGTAGGGTGAGGTGTGACATTTTTAGAGTCGACCGTTTCTAACCCTTCCTTCCTAGTGAGAAGGTAGAATTGCTGCAGATGCTGGTTATCCGAGGGAAACACCTTACTGCTGTCACACCTCTCTGCAGTCAGCAGTACGACTTCGCTCTCAGAATTCGGGTAGCTGCTTTAAGTCTCATCGTTCTCCAATCGACCTGCTTGGCATGGTAGAACCTTCAGGAACATATGTTCCAGCCAATATAGCTCGGTTGGGTCATCACGATAGGCAAGCCCGCCACCACGTCAAGGTATCAGCTACGGTCGGGAACTAATTGTATTAACTACCTCTGTATTACGAAGTAAACGGAGCACTGTTCAAACACAGAAATAATGACGGAAAGCCAATTACTGAAAGTGTGATTAAGATTGCAATGGCACGTCTAAGTTGACAAGATGAAATCCCATGGATAACCGTAAACACAATGACACAGAATTTTAAGATTCGCCTCTTATAAAAAGGAATGACGACAAAAATGTATAAAATCACTTACTGAAATTGAAATAATCCCCAGAACAGGCTAAAATGCTGGTTTAAATTAGATTTGGTAGAACAATCCGTAATGAACACACCTTGAGCAGTCCACAACACTAGGTAGAGGAACCAAACAGACCATTTATTGAATAATTCCAAATCGAAATCATACCTGCTGCACCAATTCCATTTACAAATGATGCCAAATACAAGCTCCACTCAACGGGTTCGATATAAGAAGCTAAGTACACACTAAGAAATGACATCATCTTTACAAACCTACGCATAACAGAATGAACCAGCGATCATAGAATATATTTCTCCAAGATACATCACAACAATTGGAGCGAACCAATTGAATAAGCCGAATGAGATATAAACAATCGCTAGGCTGCAACAATAAGTGTACATAATCTATCATTTACCTAGTGTAAGCCGCGCCATCAAAACTGCTGTTACGTTGTTTCGAAACAGCTTCTAAAACACTTTGCTGTAAGAAAAATGGAGTAAATTTACACTCACTGATAAAAAACTTACTGCAGTTAAGGATGCTGTGTGAAACGGAGTGAAAAGAAAGAAAAACGCCAACCCAGTAATAATTACATTATAAACATTCACATTAAAATTCATGACAATGGTAACCAAGGTTCACTGAGACTCGTGTCACGAAATAAGTCAGAAAATTCCCTACAAATCAAAAACAAAAATGATTTATTTGCTACATAAATAGTTCTGTGATGACTACACGTGCCGATATGTTGTAGTTTTACAGAAACTTCTCATTGATACATTGGCGAAAATCAGATACAGATCACAAATATATTTCAAAACGATTTGCGAGGCTGCGATTATTTACTTGAAAACAGAAACAGTGGTACAAAAGAGCACCTAAATATTTATGTGACGCACAAATTATTGAACTGTGATAGATCTTAAGGACCTAAAATATCCGGTTTATATGAACGGACATAATAAAAGGGTTCTGCTTATCCAATCCATTAGGTATATAATAGACGTACTTTTAAGGGAGTTGGTGACTACCACAGGTTTATGTGATGTGTATTTTGATAGAATACTCGACCGCGCGCGTCTAACTTAAAATTAAAAATTATTCGTACGAATCTGCCAAGTTCCCTTCAATAGATAAATGAACGATAATAACTGTGATTAATGCAGGTATAATGGTAAAAGTAATATGACGGACCAAACCAGACGTTCCGGCAAAATAACTCACCTACGTTACAAAATCCTGGTTTTGAAGCCAACAAACATATACAACGCAACCTACAAACTTCCCAGGCATTTTCCAATGTCCAATATCTTTTTCACGAGTAAGTATAAGCCAATTGATTTTTTGAGCTCGATTCTTGCCCTTTCAGTACGGTTTAAGTTATTTGATAGTGACTAATGAATGAGGGTCTAGCTACTCGACTGTCTAATTTCAGTCAGTTAGCAGTTGTTTATACGTCCCGTGATTTCAAAGGGTACGTTTGTTTCAGGAAAGCAGGATTTCTGGATATCATGAGCTATCACGTTACCAGGCTGGATATCAGTTAGTTGCAATGTGGAGAATAGTAAGAACAAGATTTCAGAACAAAGTAAATAAACGGATATTTTAGTTTAACAACTGGTAGTGGAGATTGTGAGAGAGGACTGAATCGAGCTGAGGAAATGGGATTATTATTTATTAGCAAGATTCGAGACATGCACCAGGCACAACTAGTCCATAATGTCCATAATTCGTACGTGATTACGTTTTTATCAAGTTTCTTTTTAGATCTATCCACTGCGGAGGGCTTTGACCTTTTTGGCTGGGAGAGCTTTTCTAATTTGCTACAAATACTAAGGAGGAAAAACTATAAACCTATGTGTTCGCTTTTCAGTGCGCGATATTTTAGGGGTTGCCTCAATAGGCGTGATAGTGATGCTTCGGCAAAACGCCCACGTCAGGATGATTTGATGTGCTCATTATGTTGTAGCCCATAATCAGATCATCTCTGATTCTCTAATTATTCAGAGATGATAATCGGAAGTGCTGGAGTCTATCTTCGTTAGATTTGTTCTTCAACGCCACCACTGATTTCGTTGATTGTCTCTGCACTCGATCAAAGAGATTTATGTCTCTTTTAAGGAGAAGGAATACGATGGCGTTGTGAACCTCAAAATATGCGCAAGCGTATCTTTTGAACAGCGTCAAGATTAATTTTGGAGTTACTGCATCAAGTTGTCTCTGCGGACTTAATTTGATTGCGTTACAACTTTTAGTGACGTTCTGGCTCTTGAACAGATGACATAGTTTGTCCGAGATGCTGCTCATTGAAAGAACCGCGCAGTGATTGTCCTACTGTTCTTTATCAAAGGCAGCCCTACTTTTCGGTGAGCTTGCATCCGACACCGGAATAATAAATCAAATTAATGAATGTAGTCTCAGTTCCCTGTCCCTGATTTGCAGCGATTGCTGAGCTGATTAGTTGACGTTTCTCCTTCTTTTGCTCACACACTGCTCCGTATTGTTAACGGATACTGGACAGTTTACAAGAACAAGTAATTCCGTCAGGGTAGTTGGTCCTGGTTAAAACTACCTTTGTAACCTATTTGATCGATTTTGTGTTGGGAGAATTTGGTTTACTTTGAGGATTCATAGATTTTTTGTGGACGGACCTGTGGTTTTGATGCTGCTACTGTATTCGTATCAGTGGTTCTACATAGTGACTATGTAAGAACCTATAATACTGTCTAGGCAATTCAGTATCACAGCGACGAAGGACACTTGCATTCAAATGCAGAATCATTGGTTTTAACTGGCAGCAGGAAAGCAATACAGTTTTGCCCTTTAACTGTAGGCTGTGTCGCTATAGTCCTAGGAGTAGTAGTTTCATCCTGGTTTCTTTGTTGATGACCCAGGATAGGAGTTCTGGTTGAATGATCTGAGTCATGCACACTACTATGAGGTTCACTATGAAGTGATGTTTTCAGTCTTCTCACAACTCTCGTTTAACACTCAGATTATTGACTCAGTACTAACCCTTGAATGCATAGCTCTACTAGCTTTCCTAGTTGTTATAGTTTAGGAACTAGTAGTAAGGCAATCACTCAACATGTTGATGAGTATACTTAAGGAAGTAAATTGAGGTGATCTGGATAGAAAAATACAAAAGCTAAGAATTTTCGAAGGAGGAAAATAATAATATTAAAATTGAGTGCAGGAGTAGAAACTGAATATCACCCGATACTGCAACTTACCTTTAACTATCCTCGTAAGCAAATTCGCGTGCGTACAGTAAAGTTTTTATGGGTCTTCTGTTTGAGAGTGTATAAATATGTGTACACTACCGGAACAACTAGGAAGCGAGCAGTTGTTTGAGACAACAAGAGCCATCCCATGATCACCTTTGAAAGAATTGTTACTTTGACTATCTACTAATGGATGGACACAAATGTTGTAATCTCAGGAATGTTTCATGTCCCAATCTGATGGCGAAAACTGCATTGTTTCCTGAAAAGTGCGACGTCAACGAGAACGTGTTTTTTGGTACGCTTATTGCTATTATCAGATCGCATTTATTCTCTTTTACCTCTGCGAAATAACATCGTCGCTAGACTTTATATTATCGGATTTGTTTTGTGAGTCTAATAATCCAAATAAACTGGATATTCACACCTCTCACGAAGAGAGGAGATGGGATAAACATTGTGAAATTCGAAACGAGTTTGTTAGTACATTTTAAACTGTTTAAAAGCCATCCGAGCGTGATAAGGCATTTGCTTTAGCTACATGTGTGACGGAATTGTGACTGGTGTCTAAGCTCTTTGCGGTAACTCTTACTGGTCACGCTTGGACGAGGCTAGAACAGACAGATGTTTAGGGAGTACTTACGAATTTTGTGTGCAACGAAGTCACATGGTAACAACATGAGATTTTCGCTCAATAACTTTCATCTGTCCCAACTGTTAATTAATCGGATAGGGAAATCATGCCCTGACATTCCGTGTCTGGTAATATTAGATTGCCTAAGCCTCCAGGTACAGACCTAGGTAAATTTCGTCACAGATGTCGTATGATTTTGAACCATAGGTCTCTAAGACTCGAAAATTGTTGTTAACCGCACAAGTCTCAAGAAAGCATCTGCAAAATTTTTAGTCCATTTACAATGAAGAGAGGAAAAACAAGATTCATACCTAAAGTTTTCAGGAATGCAGACCGTACAGACTAGAGACGTTAGAGATGTTTACCACTGCTTCCAGCACTATCAAGTATAGGAAATTTTTGCGAGAGACTAAAAGGCAGATATTATTGGTGAATAAAAATTAGGCGGGTTGTTCTTACACTGATTATTTCTTGACTTCGCCAGACAGAGTAATACACTGAGGCAAAATATCCCACTAGAGACAATAAACTGAGTGTGGCTCGTACATTCACATCATTTCTGTGCACTGACACTCTCAATTGATGATTACCATGGGAATCGTAATTCAATACACAATTCAATAACACAAATATTGCTCTTTCAGCTCCCAACTCTACTATACCTATGATCCACCAGAGTCTCACCCGACCGTAAATGCTACCTTGACGTGGTGGTCGTGCTTGCCTATCGTGATGACCCAACCGAGCTATACTGGCTGGAAAATATGTTCCTGCAGGTCCTACCATGACAGGCAGGTCGATTGGAGAACGATGAGACTAAAAGCAGCTACCCAAGGTCCGAGGGCGAAGTCGTACTGCTGACTGCAGAGGGGTGTGACAGGAGGAGGATGTTTCCCTCGGACAACCAGTATCTGCAGCGATGCTGCCTTCTCACAAGGAAGGAAGGGTTAGAAAAGGTCGACCCTAGAAATGTCACACCTCACGGATTTCCGTCTGCTTGGGTAAGGGTGCCCACTAAGGGCTTTTAAGAGCGGAGCTAATACTCAAAATACCTTTCATAAAAAGGCCGTGCGTGACCGGCCTCAAGCAGTTGTCCCTTGGGCTCTGCGGTCACGCACCCAGGTCTCCAAAACCAACACTAATCTATCTTCCTTTTCAGGTTCCTCAAGAAACATCTTACCATGGTGTGGGCAGCCGGGAAGTGACAACTGCCCTCATACCCGTAACAGCACCCGAGACCAAATTGGTCAAAATCAAATCCTTCCTACACTCCCTAGTACCTCTCTTATCTCCACGACTAACTAACGACTGACTTTAATGCTCAACTAAGTAGACTGAGTGAAAATGAAAGACATCTAGGAGTATGTGATGGTGTCGCTGCTCAGAGAACAGACAGTGGCGACCGTCTGTTGCAACTGTGCTCAGATAACCGCCTATTCTTAGCGGATACTAGATTGAGGCATAAGGAAAAGTATCTGTTGACCTGGCGACCCGCGAATTCGTATCAATGTTGGAACCAACTAGATCACATCGCCATCAGCCACCGATGGAGGGGTTCGATAGAGGACTGTCGCTCGTTCTGGGGCACATGTTTGGATTCAGATCATGCTCTAGTGCGAGCTCGTATTTGTTTGAAGCTTACTGGAAGTAGGAAAGACACCGTAAGGAAGCCTCTAAGGGTTTTACTTAATGATAATCAAACCAAGAAAATATTTCAGGATCAACTAGAAAGAAAGTTAAACAACCATGCAAGCGATTCCCA